GTGTTTTCTTTTTGAACCTATCCACATTCACTTCATACTTTTCTCGTAAAGTGACATAAGTGGTTGTCATTGTAATATTTCAGCTCATTGGGGCTGCTTTTGGTGCTGCTGGCCAGAGGTGTATGGCACTCACTACTGCAATATTTGTTGGTGAAAGCAAAGACTGGATTCCTGATGTTGTAGCCAAGGCAAAGGAACTCCAAGTTAATGAGGGTAATCTGTCACTGTGTTCACTGTGTTAATAATTATATCATACCTTGATTTAGTAAGAATGATTTTTGTTGATGTGGTTATTAAACATGTGCAACTAATCGACAAACAACGAATAGCTATGCAGGTACCACTGTATGCGCCTTTGTGAAGGGTTGGGTTTGTGCAGGCAGTTTGTAAGCGCCGCTGTCAATGGTGCTGTGTGAGATTATTCAGTAGCACCCTTTTGTTAATCTTTGTCTTTGTGTGCTGCTTTCATTAGAATGTTCAAAAATTAATTTAGTTGGTTTTGTTTTTGTTACATTGTTTGTATAGTTTTCTGGAGAACTATGAAGTACATTATTTCCGTTTTGTTTTCCAAAACGCTTTGTTTAGGCCATCAGCCAGGTGCAGATCTCGGGCCCGTTATTTCCCCGCAAGCCAAGGAGCGCATCTGTCATTTGGTACAGTCTGGTGCTGATGAAGGTGCCAAGGTACGAGAGACCAGCTATTCACTAACCCTTTAAGCTCCAACATACGTCTTCTCCACTCTGTTCGTCATAAATTTTTTATGGTACTGCTGGAGAGAATTTGTTCCTTCATCAAGACTATTCATCTTTGGTGATCATTATATTTTTTCTCATGACCTGTATTTTGATCAAGCATTACTATTGTTAGGAGAAATTGGATGCTGGTTTCCAATAGGGCTTAAAGGGTTAGAGGAGCGGCCCTTTCAATCAATCACTGTATTAGCGGACAAATAGCTATGAGACCCACGCGAGCTTCAGTGAAAACACTTCTTCGCCGGCTTATTTCACTTCAGCCTCCTCCGCAAGTACTATTTTGACCAAGCAACCTCGCTCATCGTCTGAAAATCACTTGATGCTGATTGATCACGTTTCCTTGTCTCTTAGATTGAACTGGATGGCCGTGATATTAAAGTCAAAGGTTTTGAGAAAGGAAACTTTATTGGACCTACTATCGTGTCTAATGTCACAGTAAGTGAAAGTGTTATGGGTGCGTTTTTCTTACGTTGAGTGACAACACAAATTTTCGCATTTTCTCGCGTTTTTCAGGCGAGCTATTCCCGTCGCGCGTGTCTCGCGTTCCACGCCTGCTTCGTACTCGCCAAAAAACGCGAAAAATAGCATCTCTTTTGCTGGCTAGAGAACCCGAACAGATAGATCCTTGGCGGGATCACGAGTTTGTAAATTTTGAACTCAGAGGTTGAATCAATCTGTTGCATCACTCATTGAGTCTTTTCTTTGTTTTCAGCCGGACATGACGTGTTACAAGGAGGAAATCTTTGGACCTGTTCTTATTACCATGAATGTAGATACTCTTGATGAGGTATCAGAATGATCATTGTCTAAATAATTCTCCATATATATTATCTGTACATTTTCAGTCGGAAGGCGCTGTTTGAGAATTAAGAGAATCGTAAACACGGATTATGGTACTGTTTTCCAAAAATACTCTCTTAACTTTAGGGTGCTGTACGGCTTTTAAAGTGATGTTACACGGGACGATTCGCAATGACGATTTTTAGCGCAACGCAACATGGTTTGCCTTCGCTCGTCTGAAAACTGAACGCGAAAAACTTAACGCCTGTTCTGCAGGCTTCTAGGAAATAGCCTACTTTTATCTTACGACTGGCGTTTGATTCCAGGCCATTGAAGTTGTGAACAAGAACCCTTACGGTAATGGAACCGCTATCTTCACAAATTCTGGATCAACTGCTCGCAAGTACCAACATAAAGTCGACGTCGGTCAGGTATGATTCCTAACTTGAACTAGCGTAATTACCTTTTCATTTTTTCCAAAAGATTGAGCTTTTTTTTGCTGAAAACGTTTGCGCCTGTGATAAATAGGGCGGGCAAATTGCGCCGTTGATAACGCCAGTTTTCAAACTGAACACGCGGAACTTTTTAGTAAAACTTCCTAAAATTTTGAGTAAATAACAACGCTTTGATACTGAAAGTAATAACCTTAGCTTCTAGTATTTTGTTTAGCTTTTGTAAATTTCTTGTTTTTGTTGTTGTTGTATCGTTTGTAATTAAGTTCTTTACCTGTCACATTCAACACCAAGATAGTCGCCTATACAGTAACGCTTTATCTCGACGATCTTACGGAAAAATAGAGAACGTTAAACAGTCTGTTTTTAAATTACCACGTAACAGAATCATTCCTTCTTGTATTTTTGGGCGGCTTTTGATATTTGTCTTATTACCATGGTGATAGACTTCCATAGTTAAGGCCAGTTATATACTGATGTTTTTATTCCCAGGTTGGAGTGAATGTCCCTATTCCCGTTCCTCTTCCCATGTTCTCTTTCACCGGGTCACGTGGATCGTTCTTGGGAGACTCTCACTTCTATGGAAAACAGGTAACTTCCCTCGCCCTCTCGGTTTCTCCCCTGGGAGGGGAAGGGGGGGAGCAGGCGTATTTCCGAACAGCGGTTGGTAATCGAGCCTTAAGTAACTCGCTCGTTACGTAATATTTCAAACAGGAGACGTAGTACTTTGTATTCAGTTCTATAAACCTATTTACTAAGTGAAGAGTACCAAAAGTTGGTGTGAGATAAGAGTACAAAACCTTGCGTCAAAGTAAAGCAAATAATTGTATTTATGGTGTCATTAATATTCTTAAGATATCGAGAAAATCTAAGCTGAGGAGTTTTTTCATTTTTCCAGGGAATCAACTTTTACTTGGAAGTAAAGACAATCACAAGCCTCTGGAGAGACGAAGACGCTGGAACTATAAAGGCTTCTACAGCCTTCCCCACCATGAAGTAAAAAGAAAAAAAAACCTTGTATATGACACAGAACCCTTAACGCTGATGTCACAAAGTACAAATACAAAAAACCTGTCACACTTAGGTCAGCGGCAACCAATTCAACCGTGTAACTGAATATTACATAAGTTTGTATACTGATTTTTGCCCGAGAAGAGACTGGATGCTAAAAATGAATGCTGGAAGTGTTATGCGAAAGGAAGAACATTGCAGTCTCACTTCGCACGCCTGAAAATAGAATGAGTTTTTTTGTTTCTCAGGTTTATCTAGTGTGAAGAATAAACCGGGAATGGCCGGGTCCAAAGCGTGGTGTAAACATCCTCATGCATGCACAATAAGTTTACACCCTTTGTAAGATCCCTAAAATCTATGAAACTTACTGTAATTTTCTTATAATGCGAGGAATAAAATAATTTTCTCAAGGCTTGCATCGGTTGTGATATTGATCTGATCTGTACTTTCCCTATATAACTTCGCTTTCATACTTTGCTCGTGCATCACGCTTTTTTGTACATTTCTTTGCCTTCACTGTACGACTACGGCGTGAAATGACCAAATTTTAAGTTTACTTGGGAACGGGAACGACAAGGCGATAAATTCTACCCTCTCTGTCCGAACTTGAGGGCGTTCCCCCTCTTCAGCTCTAGCCAAAGTCCCCTTATTGCGCGGTCTTAGGGCTTTACCACTACGACAGGAAATTTTTACCGCAGGAACCATTCTTGAAACGACTTCAAGACTTCAGATTGTTTGCGGTGGACTCATGGCAAAACAGGGGATATTAAATCTTTAAGGATTAAATTAACTGCAAAAACCGTGAACGAAGATCCTGCTAGTTGTAAACGTTGGATCTCTAGAAAAGAGATCTAATCAGCCAAAATATAACTAAAGAACCAAGAACGAGAAGTCCAAAGACTACTGCAAAGCTGATTTAAGACAACGTGATTAGAATTACTGTCAGTGTCAGTGTTCTTATTAAGAAGTAATAGAGAACTTGGGCAAAGGCGCTTTAACGCTTTTAACGACGCACGTTACCGCGAGCAGAGGATTCTTTCTGGCATGGCTTTCAGCGTATGCGAAGTCGTTCGTGTGGTTTGTCACTACTGAGTCGCATATTTGGTTTTTGTACCACAAAAAGAAACCTGTGCTCGCAGGGTCACGCGTACTCGCTCGCGAGGGGGTTCCAATTTTACGTTCAGTTCGAGTTGGTGAGACTTTCCTGCTCCCAATAGATTTACTTATCATGAAATCAAATCATTTAAATATGCAAACAATCGTAACTGTCGCTTCTTCGTGGCCGTTCTTTTGTGTCGTCATGCAACGCTCCTCCCCACACCACAAATGTAACGAAGGTTTGAGTCGTGCAAAGAACAGCTGAATAGGCAGTAGACTAAACTTCCTTGAGGGTTTTTTTTTAGAAGGGAGGAGAAAGTTGTATTGTGTCATGGCACCTGGTTGACCCACAATGCCTCTTGGGGTAAGAAGAACGAGTGAGACTGAAACTAGTGCTGGATCAAGCTGAGAAGAAAACAAACTCAAACCCACCACAAATGGGGACCAACACGGGACAACGATTTGCGCAAGCCTAAACGTATAATTTATCTCTGAAAAAGAAAAGTTAAAGTGAACAAAGTGACTATGGCTGAAGGAGGAAGGCTTCCTTGGTCCTCTCGTCGTCGACAAGCTCGCCGTCGAAGACGGTGGAACGACAGTGAGAGTAGCGACAATGAAGAATCTGAACTCGACCGCGATCTTCTTCGCGTTGTTCTCAGCGACTCCGAAGATTTTGTACCGGATGATGTTAAAAACACATCATCTGTTGCTTGCAGTTGTGATACAGACCTTGAAGACGAACAGCCTGGTGGCACTGAATTGTCGAATGTAAAGAATTGTCCTAATCTAAGTGATCTAGATCCCGAAGTTCGACGTCTTTCTCAAAGCTTTCGCTTGCTTGCCAAGAAGGTAACCCGTCGAAAAAATGAAAAAGACACGCGTAAAAAACCTTCTGGTGTGAATCGAAGAAGCGATCGAGACGAAAATGGCTTGGGTTATTATGCACGTTGCTTGCAAGAAGCGAAGCGAGTTCGAGAGAAGGCGGAATTGGAGGCCCGAAATAAGCGAATGGGCTTGACTCGAAGACGCCGACCGCTTAGCATGACAAGTTTTCGAGCGGGAAATTGTGATGAAGAATCAGAAAATCCAAGGAGAAGACGCTTTTCGTTAACATGGGGATTTCGAAGAGGGACAGGAGACACAAATTTGGAAGAAGCAACTTCAGCTGTCGTAGACGAAGGAGAGAATTTTTCGCCAGGTGAACGGCCTCCTTCGTCAAGTTCTCAAGCACCCCGGGAATATGGCAGAGCAAATGCTATTAGCTTGGAAGAACTTCAACGAAGAAGAAGAGAAAAAGCACGCTTAAAAGCAGCCCAACATAAACTGGAATACTTTCTTATCAATGATATCGTTTCTGTAACAAATTGCCCCTGGTACTGGGGAAAAATCAATAGATTCCAAGCTGAAAAGGTGAGAAACTTTACGTAAGTATATCTTGTTTAAATGAAGACAACAATGAACCTATTATTGGCTACATTTCTTGATCAAAGTGGATATTTCCTTTTCTCATTAACTAATGTCATTATCAGAACCATGCCTAGTTGCTGTTCTTTTGTACGTGACCGGAAAGTTTCTAACCTAATTTTAGTTTCGTTTGCCTGCGTCGCGGACGCTCTAAACCTTCTTCCTTAGTCTTAAAAATTTCCGTGATGATAGATCACATTACAGAAAACTATTTGTACATTACAGATAAAAAAGGCGGAAATTGAAAGCAAACTATGTTATGTTTCCCTCTTTCTAGCCTACGATTATTGAAAATGTGAACAAAGTATACAGACATTTTTTAAAAACGTGTTTTGGAGTTAATGACGGGAGGAAAGGGGGCCCTAAAGATTTAAAGCTACGTTATTTTGATTGATGCATTTTTCCCATTGTCAGTTTCGGATGTCTCAAGCTAATTGAACATTATACCCATTCCCAAAAGTGAACTTAGAGTACCGGTTTTCACCTGCTCATTTTGTCTAGTTTGAAAACCTACGCATTGGATTTTAAATTGCTAATTTTGCTCACAGCTCTAAGTTTTCCTTTGAGGCATATTACAAATTCGAGGGGATCCTTTTCCTTATATATGAATTCAAAGTAGACAGACTGCAAATTACAGTAGTTGCTAAAGAATATATCTACGTGTCGCTACGTGTCCCATATGAGTTGCTCTGTAAGATTTTATAAGATAGGTAATACATGGCCAGGTATTCTACAATAAATATTTAAAGATGCAAATATCCATCTATTGATATTAAGTCAAAGGATGACAGGAAGTGGGCTTCTTGCCAGGAAATTGATGGAAAGGGGAAAACCCTCCACTACACTGGAATTATGAGACCTCTCAATGCCCCCATTCAATTTAATTTTACCAAAAAAAATACTGAGGTCTAAAAAAAGGTTTAAATCATCTGCAATGAAAAATCCAGTGGACAAGAGGTAAAAAAAAACTTTTACGATTAGAAATTGACCCTGTCTTGGCTGAAATTGGCAAATTCCCCTGGGTTCAGGGTAGTAGAGTCTGTCTTGTCCCAAGCTTGTGATATGATGACCATTATAGTTATAACAGCCTGTGTAGAGCTATGTCCCTTGTACCATTTTGGGTTGGTCATATACAACTTTGGTGCCTTCCTTGTGCGGGAAAATGAAACTGTACTGTAAAAAAGGCATAGTGTTGATGCCAGAATGATGTTCAGACACTTGACACTTCAACCAGCCGGACTGAATGCAAACTTCAACTTTCTTCGAACTTCTCAAAGTCAGCGAGCGCATGTAAACGTTAGTTTTTGTTTTGATTTTTCTTTAAACGATACATTGCATGTGTTTTTTTCAGTTGCTTTGAGCCACTGAGGAGGAGGGAGCACCCTCGAAACATCTGGTTTTGTCATGCCCTTTCAATGCACTTTGTGATAAATCCTGTAAAAATCATCAAACATTTACATTTCACAGAATTTTCCAATTTTTTGTACTTAAATATGCACAATTTGGTCAAACAAGCCAGAGAAAAACTCCAAAGAACATTAAATGCCAGGACTGTGCTCTAGCAATGCCTGGTGGCCTGTGGCACTTAACTTTTGCTCCCGGGCGACTAGAAAATCTCTTCTTTTTTTTTCATACAAATCATATGCTTGGTACCCTGGATTTCACATCAAGCTCAGAGCACTCGGTTGCCTTCAGTTTTTTCTTAGAGCACAACATTGAACTTTGACCAGAAGAATCTCAACATTTTGTTTCCCATGCATTCTTGAGCTTTGAAGGCTGTAATTTGGTGTCAAGAACAAAGTTCCATGTAGTGCTTGACCTGTAAATAATATATGCTTTTGGCAGTTTTGTTTCTTTTTGCTCACATAGTTAACAGAAAACGGCTTGAATAGCTTGAAATGTGAAATGACATGTTTCAGCAAAATTCCTGTAGTCCAGGCAAAGATATCAAAAAATTTGATTGTTGTGAAGGTGTTAGTGGTTGATGTAACACCATGTTTTTGTTCGTTTTCTCCCCA